GGCAAAATAACAAGAAGTGCAACACAAAAGTTAAGTGGGAGGTGCTGGAATATTGGCTTAAAGCCACCACCTCTCTCAGTACACTCTAGAGTCTAGCTGGGAGGAGTGCTGGCTACGAAAGCACGGAACATTCTGAGGACTGATGTTGGGGCGACCCCAGACATCAGGTAGTATTGGGGGCGAGTGCAGGTGCAGCCAGACCGGCGACCAATCAGCGGAGCCGTAGCGATCAACGGGTAGTTTGGTGATTTGGGTCCGAACAGGTGGCGGGCTGCATACGTTTCTGCTCACCCTGGCAAGCCTTGCTGGTGCTGGTGTTGTTGTCGTTGTTGGACATTTCTTCCATAGTCTTTTTATATAATTGTGAAGACGTAATTTTGGAGGGAAGAGCAGGCTCAATCTCTTGAAGGAGATTATCGTCACACAACAAATATTTGAGAAAGTGACATCAATTGATATTTTTAAAGATAAGATAAGATTTCCTTTCAGAACAGTCTTCCCGTTGTCAATCTTGCTGTGGCAACTCTCAAGGGAATAACCACACACACACATTTTTGCCCAGACTGACTGACTGATTCATAAAATTATCTCTGGCACTATAATGACATTACCCCCACTAAGTAAATCAACCAATTCTCCTAATATAACTGTACTCGTATTACTTATTTGATCAAACATACAATAAGGTACTGTTGAATCCCCAAAAGTTTGTACTTTATACTATTACTTTTGTCGAGGACAAAAAAAAAAAAAGCACAATGTAATGAAATGCCTCTTTCTGGTGGAGCCTCAGTGGCCCCTTGAAGCTATCTCACTGAGATGGCTCCCCATTACTAGGTCATATCAGTTGCAGGGAGTTCTGTTTGATCTACTGGAGAACTTGGCCCCTTTCAGAAACAAAGGGAGTTGGGGGGTGGGGCTATTATTGTCACCTCCCACAAAAAAAAAAAGCAACCAGAAAATTTTGAGAAGCTTTATTTGGCCAGGAACTACAAGATTCAAAGAAAATGAAACACCAAAATGGTCAAATGACTCTGCAAAATATTCAGGCAAAAACAAGTGAATCACTAAAGAGCATCAACCTATTAAGACCTAATGGCAAGAGCGAGTGAGGGCCTGGAGTCCAGGCCCTAGCTCACTACAGAGCAATGGACAAGGAATCGATGAACCTGATAGAGAGCCAATGGAGCTCTAGCCAGGGCAGCCGATGGAGTTCTACTAGAAAGAGACATTTCATTACATTCAATGCTATTTTTTTGGGGAGGAGCACCTGGGTGCCTTCCTGCAGCTAACCACATAGAAAAAGGCAAACAAGGGACTTACCATAGAGGAGAGGAGACAGCAAGTACTAGATCGAAAAGATAGTGGGACAGGAAACCTGGTCCAGTACAAAACAAGACCAACTGAAACCAAGAATATTAACCAAATACCAAGCTGCCAAAACCCGATCTCAAAGATCAGCCTATGACATGTTGGGGGAAAAACAGCAGCTAAAGCAACATACAGTATTTATGAACATCATAGGCCCAAGGATAGATTGCAAGTTGGCTAACTTCGATGAACACTGGACAACCGAAGAAATACAAGCCTTGGAAGGCACCAAGGAAAAAGGGCACGAGTCACACGAAGCTGTGACTTGTATTTTTGTCTATATCTGATATGAGAATAAGGAAAAGCAGTGGTGCCAGGACTGTGCCCTGAGATACAGATCTTTTAACTGTGCTTGGACTCTATTTAATTTGGCTGATTGTTACTCTTTGTGTTCAGTTTGACAGAAAATTTAATATCACCACCCTACTGACCTCATTTTGTGGGCTATCATGCCATGGTCACATTTATCAAATGCCTTTCCAAAGTCTGTGTATACCACATCTGCATTCTGTGTTTCTTCTAAGGCATCAGTGATTTTGTCAAAGTGGTCGAGTAGCAGCAAAAGACATGATCTTCCTGCTCTAAATCCATGTTGACCTGTGAAGGTATCATGGAAAATGAAATGCAAGAGAAGGCAAACCACAAGATTAAAAAGAGTGTGTTGAGATAGTTTGATCACGTTCGAAGAACGGGTAATGATAGACTTGGAAAGGGTGTATTTGAGAGAATTCGAGGGTAGGAGAAGTGACAAGTCCTAGAGGAAGGTGGGCAGATATGGCATACAATAAATGAGTATGCAGACGACGAGTCACAATAACGTGGATGAAGATATTAAAACTGAACCACACACCAGAAGATGAGGAGACTACGACGTTTCGGTCTGTCCTGGACCATTATCAAGTCGATTGTGATAAATCACAAGCAAGTCGTCCTCTCCTCATCTGGTGTACAAATGAGTAGCCTTAAGCTATAGTGACCTTTGTCTGTCTCTTCTCCTTCAGCCAGAAGAGAGGCTCCATAAGTCACCTCATCTGCCCTCCTCTGCACTGGAGAACCTCAAGTTCCCCACAATTATGGCATGCTATTGCCTGGCCTCTGGGAGGAGCTACATCTGCTCTACAAATAACAAAATAATTAAGATTTAATGCTGTATTTGACACACACAATCCCACAGAGATAAGACGTTGCATGTTTATATAAGATTACTGGGTTCAAGTGCTCCTTCATGCAATCTCCACATGTTCATTTTGTAGGACTTTCTGATATTTTTTGTTAATTCTTTTTATTTGGCCATTTCTAAATTAAAGATTTGCTTTACCACTCCCATTCTTTTCAAGCTTAAATTACAGGTATCTAAACACATTTACAGTTTAAAAACTCTCTATATAAGTTAACAAATTCTGGAACTGTAAAACTGTCCATTTCTATGAAGCCTAAAATTTGCTTGTATTTGCATTTTCGTTCCACAACTCTAGCCACTGCTCTTTTCTGGGGGGAGCTCCCAGAGCTATCCAGGCTGAATGAATATGTATAACTTTCTGACATCAGTCAATGTGCATGGAGTTCTTGCTTACCGGGGACCACGAGCCAGAACCTGGCCCCCTCAGAGAGGCGCGAGGAGCAATGGCCTATAGAAACCCCCATGTGGTTGGGAGCATTCTATGTCTACCATCGACCAGGTCTGACCCAGAAAGGTAGGCATCCCAAAACAAACCCCTATTCTGGTGAAACTATTGCTACTGAAAGCCCAACGAGTGGACAGAACTCCCCAAACGAAAATTAGCAAACAAGCATGACGTAATTATGTCGCTGCGCCGCCATCTGTGCAACCACCCCCCCTCCTGAGGGGGAGGGGAGCTCCAGACCCTCCGTGCCGGCGATCCAACCGGCAGTTCTTGGTTGATGTGATTCTGGAGAAGTCATGTGCCTCTGGCCCCTGCTTGGTCTCCCTCCTGCATGCTTCGTCTCAGCGGCAGTATGTAGTTTCTGGCGGTCCTTCCAGTTTTCCTATTACTGTGTCGGTGTACTGTAGTCTCTGATAGGGTTGTCTTGTCCTTCCCTTCGGGGTTGTTCCATTACCATTGTCTAGTGCTGAATACTGTCGCCTCGTATCAGGCGGCGCTGGCGGGGCCGCTCCAGCTTGCGTTCAGTGTTGCTGTTCCTTCTGCTCAGTTCCGCTAGCTGTCTCGTGCATTGTTTCACCTCCGGCCTGCTCATGCGCTTCCGGTGACATGCTGGTCATTGGCCCGGGTGCTCTATATTTTTTCTTCTCAGTTTTTCATGGCCCCTTTGGTTCTGGTTTGTTTTTTCAGGTCTCATTTACCTGTTGGCGTTGACCTCTGGGGATCAGGTCGGGGAGTTTCCGGCTCTCCTCCGGTGCACGAGTTTTTTCTGCTTGTTTGGGCCTAGTAGTTGGTTTGTTTGTTTGCTGCAGTCTCCTTCCTTTCTGGTGATGTTTGGATCTGATGTTTTCTGGAGGGGTCCATGTGCGGTTGCTTGGTTGGTCAGGCCGGGGGGTGCATCATGTATTGTGTTCGGTTGCGGCTCTTCACTGTTCTCTGTGCATTTTGGCCTCTGTGGCTGTGGGCACATTATGGTTTGCCCGGGTTCCCTTCCTTCCTTACTATGCCTGGGTTCAGGTCTCCCAGGTCGTCTGCAGGGTCCTTTGGTGTGGCCTGTTGTCTTGTTTTTGTGTTAGGGCGCGTGGAGTTCATCTCTCGGGTCTTTCCCTCTTTTCCTTATCTTTGGTGAGGGAGCCCCATCAGCTCCAGGGAGCTGATGGGGCTCCCTCCAGAAAACCAGCGTTGAATGTAATGAAACGCCATTTTCTGGGTGAGACCTGGAGGCTCCTCGGCATCCTTCCCTCCCTCCGGTCGGCGGTGTTTTTCACGTATTTGGACATCCAGCCAAAGAGCTGCAAGTTGGATCACCGACACGGAGGGTCTGGGACTTCCCCTTCTGGGGAGAGAGAGGGGGGGGGGGGTTGCAAATAGCGGCGCGGTGACGTGATGACGTCATGCTTGTTTGCTAATTTTCGTTTGGGAAGTTCTGTCCAGCTTTCGGCTTTCGATAGCAATAGTTTCACCAGAATAGGGGTTTGTTTTGGGACGCCTACCTTTTTGGGTGTCAGATCCGGTCGATGGCAGACATAGAATGCTCCCAACCACTTGGGGGGTGTCTATAGGCAATTGTTCCTTGCGCCTCTCTGAGGGGGGTGGCCAGGCTCTGGCTCGTGGTCCCTGGTAGGCAAGAACTCCATGCACATTGACTGATGGCAGAAAGTTATACATATCCTGGATAGCTCTGGAAAGCCTTCGAGTCTCACTCAGAAAATGGTGTTTCATTACATTCAACGCTGTTTTTTTAGGCCTACTAAGGCTTCTGGTAATGTACACACCTTTGTTGTATAACTACTGCAATGCATGTCATCTGCATACAACAATTCATTCACACCCTAAAAAGTTACTGCAAAACTCTCATGGGCATGTATTTTCAGCAACATTTAACTTGTGTTCAAAATTGCATTCCAATTACAGTACTTAATTGTAGTTTATATAGGGAATATATTTTTTTATCTACTTTTATATTTTTATTATCTACTACAAATACAACAAATGAATCATTGTTACCTTTAAATTAAACTGTGATGAATCAGATAGACTTGATTGTGAAGACTGAATGGCTGCTTCATCATTTGACTCGGCTGCAGTTTCTGAACGCGCCACTTTACGTACAATCTGTAAATGTCATGTATAAATTTCCACGTTACCTTTATTTATTTATATATACAAGAGTTCTTACATTCTTGTAAAGCCACTAGCACGCATAGTGGTTTCAAGCAGGTCCTTAATCCTAATTTTCCCCAGAATACAACCCGCCAAATGGTTTAGCAACCAGGTACCCATTCACTACTTTGTGAATAGAGGCTACAGTTAAGGATCGGCCCCCAGTAAATCCTTCCTGGCCAGGATACGAACCCAGGCCAAAACGCACGCTTTATATATACTTAAAAAATCATAGAGTTCCAACAATGCTTGTTCATTTACCTAAAATACAATACTGTACTGAAAGAACAAATTCAGGTTTTGAGTGAATATGAACATCTCCCTTCTGTGGAAGACATCTGGATGCTCCATAAGGCTACATCTAACAGAAGCATCATAGCTGAGGAAGGGTGACAATCTACATTTGTTCATGCACACTTCTGGATGCATCTATTTTGTTATTGTATAGTCAACCCTTATATAACATGCATTTATTCAATGTGTTTTAGTAATAACAGGGTTTTCATTTAGTGACCATTTCTATAAACTGTACAAACTTTTATTATATAACACAGGCAAGACATGCTCACTTGTTTAATCTGGCAATGTCAACCCTAACTTTGAACATTAAGCCTACATAATGAATACTGTAGTTACCTCAGGAGTAACAAGAACATCATCCTCATCACCATCGCAGCTAGAGCTATGAGGGCGCTTGTACTCTGCCGGTGCAGGGCTTTCAGCTATCAGACGATGTATGGCACTGTTCTTCACGTCACCTAAAAGAAGAGAATAATTTTATTAGAGATCTGTCTATATCTTTGCTAAGTTGTCTGTCCTGGCAATTTTCCTTTCTTGATAAGGTACAGTAGAATCTTCCCCAGATATTGTCAACATCTGAAACACTTAAAAGGCAATTCACATATTGGTATGGCAACAACACAAATGATGCAATTTCTTGCTTGCATCAAGAAACAAGACTTGGGGCTTAGCAACCATATTCAGGTGAAGAAGGCAAAAAGACAGAAATGGAAGCAGACAGAAGAACACACAGAGACAAAGAAAAAGACAAATGGAACAGTGTATTTAGTGAACAGGTAATGTGTGGGTGGAGAAAACATAGCAGTGAATCAAGTGTTGCTACTCATTTAATGTGAGAGTAACCAAAAATAAGTGAACCATAACATGAAGAAATTACACATCTCTCATTTCCCTCACCATAGAGCTACCAAGGGTACCTGAGCCAACTGGTCTACTAAATTTATTAAGACATAAGAATAAGAACAATGAGAAAATCAACTGGAGCTTTGGGGTGACTCGAACCCTCGATCAAGGGATTCTCAGCCACTCGCATTACCATTCAACCCGTTCTCGCAAATTCGTAAAGTCAATATTGACTTATTAAATAAGTGCATAGGTGACATACTGAACATAATAGATACCCTTAAAAAGCATCTCAAGAAGGATAGCTTAAAATATCCCCTGTACTGCTGGTGTGAACTGTTGTCCTGCCTAAATTTGCATTACCATGAACTATGGACACATCAAATGTTACCAGAGAAAGCAGCCAATATAATTGCTTAAATAATAATAATAAAAGAAAATTAGCTAAAACATACAAAAAACATTTGGTATTAAAGATGATTAATTAAAGAATGAAATCAATATTAATATGTTGAAATAATCTGTATGTCATTGAACTTCAGAACAAGGGAAAACATAAAAAATAATTATGATGACTAGATTCAATTAACTGTTACCTGATGGTGAAGATATTGCTTGTTCTAGAGCATTTATTTTCTTTTTCAAGCTGACATTTTCTCTTTCTAAAGATTTAACATCATCTTGAAGGTTTTTGTTTGCTAGTTGCAACACACTCTGTAACAAGAGAACTTGTACAAGAGGAAATAACAAATAATATATATGTAAAAAACATGCACATAATTCCCTTAAAAACAAGTTATTACAAATTATATGAATTAATTAGTTTCTACTGCCACCTTTACCATGAAGCTGCAGTATGTTTCACATCAAGCCATGTGAAAAAAACCAGTGTCAAGTTTAATGAAATGCCAATTTCTGGAGTTATTTTAGGGCTAACGGGGACCACAAGCCAGAACCTGGTCCCCCTCTAGAGGTGCAGGGATCAGTGACACTTGAGATAAAATTTATATGCATTTATTCATGTCTGCCACGTACTGGGGAAGGCACCCAGAAAGTCAGCAATACAAAAACAGACACGGCTGGCTAGAAACCAAACTGCAGCCTCTAAACCCCCAAAAGAACTCTCCCCAACAATGTAAACAAACGATAGAAAACTCTTGAAACTTGTGCAAGCTAGTTCGCCCCCCGTCATTTGGGGAGGAGGAGGAGGGAGACAGCCCAGGTCAGCTGGCTGCTCCACCCTCAGTTCTATAATAGAAACACCCCCAACTCCCTGAGGAAGAAAGGGTGTCATAGAACTACCAGGGCTCGCACAGAAATTAGTCTTTCATTACATTTACCGCTGGTTCTGGAGGAAACCCCGTTGGCTAACTACACACGGAGAAGAACAAGAAAGGGGACTTACCAGGGAGGAGGCAGTACAGAAGGAATAAATTTGAGGATGAGACCATTGGCTGTGACACAGGGCCCAAGGCAACACAAGGCCGCTGAGGACCAGGAACATTAACAAGATACCTGGCTGTCAGGAACCTGTTCGACCTCCAAAACACCCGTGCCCGAATATCGGCCCACAACATATTGGCAAAAACAGCCAAGAGAGCGGCATACTTATGGACATCATGAGCACAAGGGTAGACCACAGGCTGGCTAGACTTAATAACACACTATGGACAACCTGAGAAACACAACCAATGGAACAGGGAACCAAGGAAACTAGATCAACCCACAACGAGTCCTCAGAAACAGAAGCAGTGGCATGATGGAAGAGCTGCCACAGGACACTATACTTGATGCACTCCCGGCCGAAGCAACCAAGCATCAATAACCAATTCATGTTGGTTGTCATGAATAATCAATAATTTTTTGTTGTGCAGGACAATGTATCAACATAACCTGGCACATTTTAAGAGCTAAGGTTAATGGATAGTGATGCTTAGTATACAGTACATGCATATACAGTACTGTATACATGTTTCTGTTGATTAGTCTATACACTGATTACAGTTATGCAACAGTTTTAAACAAGTACCAATCAGACAACCCATCCTCGTGTTTAGATAATACTTTTTGTAACTACAGTATGTGGACACAGTTACATACATAGATATAATTGACAATTAGATAGTAGAATTTGCTACTTTATTATTCACTTTATAGTCCCCCCCCAAAAAAAAGAGCCAAAACATAAACTTTAATATTCCTAGGTCTAGTATAGCACATATATGTACTATATTATGCCTCAGATAGCATGTATTAGGCCTAGGAAGGTTAGGTTAGGTTAAGTCAAGTTTTCTTTGCAGCATCTGTACCAAACTTTTTCTGTTTGTCCAAATACAATAGTACTGATTTCTACTTTCTAATTACCTTTTATGTCAACATATGTACGATGGTCCTCATCGTTACTATAAGTATTACCTAAACAGGAGGAAGGGCTGAATCAGAACATTTAGATGATAAAAGGTTCTGCCAGTGATATACATTTAACATCTGCAAATAATTATGAGCATGCTAAAATATAAAAAAACTATATATAACTTACGAGTTCTGTTACAGCAGCATTGTAATTTTGTCTCGCTTCTTTTGCCTTACTTCGTAGTGATGATGCCTCATCCCTTAGTCTTTTCTTATCATCTACAGTCTTGTTCAGCTCTCTTAAAGAAAATTATATTTTTCATTTAAGGAGTAAACTAGTTAAGTACAATATTTGCTACCCTGACTAACTGGTATGAAATACCAATTAAATTTGAATGTGAAAATACTTAAGCCTTTAGTTACAAAATTTAGATTAATCAGAAAAGGTACTGGAAGACTTGTTTGTGTGCCTTCAGATAAGAGCAATATCATACGAATGTTTCATGTAAAGAACGGGACAAGAAATACACACTTTTTGAGTATGGAGCAAAAGGTGGCCAAAGATCTCATGCTGTCAGGGTTGCCTGTGTAGGACATTAGCATGTCTTCCACATCTTCGCTGGTTCCTGACACTATACTCTCCACGCTGCATGACAAAATGATATACAAATTAATTCAACTAAAAATGCGGCTTCCACATCTTTGCTGGTTCCTGACACTATACTCTCCACACTGCATGACAAAATGATATACAAATTAATTCAACTAAAAATGTGGCATCTAGATTACTGAAATAATCTAAATTAGAGCTCCCGAGTGACAAATAATTATCAGAAGAATGCACTTGGCCAATATGAATATGCATCACTTGGAAAAGATATGAAGATAAAGAACTGGGATACAAGGACCTAGACTATCAGGTATTGAATGCCAAAACTTGAAAGACGTGGGGTCATGATGTGAATAACAGAGGTTACGTTACAAACTGCAATATAATGTAAACAACCATGATTTGAGTAATATGAAAAACATTTTCTGAGCAGATACTTCAGTTGCTACCTAAAAGAACGTCTGCCATTTTAATTTAAATGGACAGAAAAATGCATAATCAGTCAAGATAATATACTGCATTGGCACCATGAGGATCTTTACAAGCTGTCCATGCAAGGTTATAAAGGTACTGTACTAGTAAATCACTGGTACTATTACTAGTAAAACTTAATTTGGGGAGCAAGAGAATGAAAGTTCATAAAACACCAGTAAAATAAGGGTAATAATAATCAGCAAACTATGCATAATTACTTCTGAAGAACTTTAAGATGTTCTCGTAAACTCTTGGTCTCATCCTTAGCTTTCTGTGCCTCTTTAGTGATTCGGTCCATGAACTGTAGCTGGGTCTTCAGAGCCATAATGGTTGTCTCTTTGACCTGCACCTGGCTTTCAACTTTCTTACATTCCTCTCTAAAAATAAAAAAATATATTTTGTCTATTATTACAAACTGAAAAAGAGAAGATATCACCATAATAGTATTAAGAGAATTTATTCTATAGTCAATGGATAGCAAAAAAATTTATGGATTATTGTCCAACAGGTGACAAGATTTTACCAATGTTCTGTAAATTAAAGACAGGTAAAATTATGCTCTTTGATAGGGAGATTTACCTGAGGCCTTTGGTTTGCTTTGTTAGTGTTGAATTGCTGTCTTTCAAATTCTTTATTTCCTGGTCTTTAAGTCTAACCTGAAACTATAAATAATAATACAGTATATTAGTTTATTGTAACCTTGAGTGAAACCAAAGCAAATATAAAAGACAACATTGAAATGAACCACCCCCAAATTATTTAAAACTAACCTTAGTGTATGATACAGAAATTTGAGACTGCTTAGTTCACTATTACAAAATTACACTTTCATCTGATATATGCTCTGGTATCTCTATCTTTGTCTCTTTAAAAGCTAGGAAGGTCAAAAACATCTAAGTTTACCTTAAGGCCATCAATATGATTCTGCAAAGTGTCAGGGTCCACCTGTGATGTATCTGTCCCACCAGTATCAAAATAAAGTTTCACCAGGCTCTTTTCTGTAGCTTTACTTCGACACTGAGGACAAGATTTGGACCTTGTGGAGTATAAAAAATAAAGTCAGTTCAGACATTACATTATACAGCACTTGTGTGTATATTATATATTACATATACAGTAGCTTATTACAATACACATTTAACAACACAGCTACTGTATTTGAAGGACTGATACAATATATAAATGCTCATAGATAAAATGTAAATTACCATTATGCAATCTACACACTTAAACTTTACATTAAATAATACACACAGCACAGTCCAATTATAATTACTGTACAGTACAAAATTAATTTTTACCAACATTTCAGCCCAGAAGAGGGCTATATCATGCAGACACACTGTACCGTAGGCCTTAAATTGCATAAATTCAAATAGGCAAAGTTTAATCTGCATAATATAAATGTTAACATAAAATGTAAAAATATGTTGTAATATAAGAAAACATGCAACTGTGCTTCTAAAATACAGTACATACAACTCTACAGTAAATTATATTTGCAGTGCAGTATTGGAATTTAGAAGGATTTATCTTTTCAGTATTCCTACACAAACAATACACGATAGTTTTAAAATGTAAATACAAGACTGGACTGAAAAGATCATATAAGCTTATTCACACCTTTCAATCCACTGGATGAGGCAGAGAGAGTGGAATGTGTGACCACATGGAGTAGCACTGATATCATCTGTAGAAACGAAGAGGTCCCCACAGATAACACACCCAGCTCGCATTCTGGTTGCTTATTTCAGGCCAAGATTCTCTGTAATAGGAAGTCTGCATTATGCATGCTTTCAAACCAATATTTTAAAACCATAAGAGCTCTAATTTGAAATGTTTTACCTTAAACTAATTTAACATAAAGAATTACAGTATATACAACAGTTAAGAAATCCATAAACAAAAATGCAGTCCAGTATACAGATTATAATACAGTATAATATACTTTAATCATCTATAATGTCAAAATCTACAAATCAATTTCAAAATAGGAAAATAATATGCATTCACAATTAGTTATCTGAAAAAATTACAACCTAGAAATACAGTATAATCAACCTTTCACTGTGAAATCCTGGAGTGGTAGCCATGCAAAATTTGGTTTCTCTGTGATAATCAACATACTGTATATCCAGAAATCTGGAAATACATTTTCAAATCATGTTTGACCATGACCTCTGGGCCTAAAAGCCAGCCTATCCTCCTCTTTAGATAGTATTTATAATAACGATGTACTTATAGACTTATAGTATAGTAACTTATAGTAACAAAACCAGAAAATGTTTTGTATTTATGTTGCTAATAAAACCTAATCTAATCTAACTATCCTAGGCATAATACATGCTATCTGAAGTCTAAAATACTACACATGCTCTATACTAGGCCTAGGAGTATTTAAATTTGGTTTTAGCTTGATTTTTTATGGACTATAAAGTAAATGGTACCAAATTCTACTATCTAATTGTTCATTATTTCAAAATATATAGAATGGTCCACATAGTTTCATGTAACTGTTACACAACTTGTTAATAGTTCATGACAGATTGAAACATAATCGTTTCTTCATTTTTAAGAGGTCGTTATGGTTAACAGTATCAAAGGCCTTTCTCAGGTCAATGACGAGGCCAAAATGGAACTCTTTTTTTTTTTTTTTGTCAAGGGCTGTATAGATTATATCAAGCAGACTAATAATAGCATCAGTGGTACACTTTTGGGAATGGAAGCCAAACTGGCAGGGACTTAATATGTTGGATTTTACAAGGTAGTGGTATAGTTGTTTGTAAATAATTTTGTCAAATATTTTTTAGTATCGGTAGATTTTATATTGGTCTGTAATTGTTTATGTCAGCTATATCCCCTCATTTATTAATTGGAGTTACTCTTGCTTTTCTAAGGATATCAGGAAGAGTATGACATTAGAGATTTGTTGAATTGCAGAGCTATGCAAGAGGAGGGGCTGCACTCTTATACACCATAGTTGGTACAGTATTTCACTAATGTTCCCAGCTTTGGTTTTAAGGGAGTGAATTATGGATATTATATCTGTCGAGCTGACTGGTAAAAGGAGTACAGATTTAGGATAGCTGCCAGTGAGATATGTAAAAACATGTGTCTGGATCTCTGGGAGTTTTCTAGCAAGGTTAGACTTGTTACCAAACAAAATGTCAAACACTGTGTCAATGTTAAGGGTAAGTTTGTTAGCAGTCAACCACAAATGGACATTATCTGGTTCAGTATTCACCGTGTCGTTTAGAGTAAGTGGGTTAACATGGGAGAAAATGAAGGGTATGTCATTAGCAGATAGAATTGGCTTCAAGTGCTGAGTGACATTTGGAAGACCACTAATGTATATGAGTAAGAGGAGTGGACCAAGTATACTACCCTGCCTTACAGCTCTAGTCCAAAAGGGTGGGATACCATTTTGGCAAAATGTGCCTGTTAAGCAAAACGTTCGGTTGTCAGATAGTGACCCCAAGGCAGAGCGGAAGTCAGACCTCTACCCAGCTTAGAGGCTGAACCATGAATCTCCTCACCCCTTATTTCAAGCTGGCAGTGGGGCGACTTGTCCTGCTACAGCGGTAACATATACTGTACTGTACTACCATCCAAACAATAATGCTGGAATTTTACACTACCAGACTAAAGACTTTCAATAAAAATGGGGAAATAAATGATAAAAAAGCTCGATCTCAACTATTCTTACCTTATAAATAACAAACTACTGAATTTGAACAATAATAACACAGTCTTCGCAAACTTACTGGAGCTGCACATTGAGAGGACCGCGGAAAATAGTGGAAACTCGTTTTCCAAACTAATAAAATTATTTCCTGAAACTCTTGCAAATCTATTTAAATTCTAACCATAAATTTACATTAGTTTTTCTCTGCTTTACAATATGCTAACCTTAACACTTTGTTTAGTGAAATCGGAAGTAAATAAATATTATATAAACAATCCAAACTGCTAGTTTTGGAGCCTCAAAATACTTGTAAACAAACAGAAGCCACTTACGAGCTGCCTGACGTAAAATTAAATAACTTTATGAAGGAAATAATCAGTGATTTTTTTAGTTTTTATTTTATTTATACGAAAATACTAAATATAACTGCATAATATTGCCAAAACTTTGATATTATAAGTGTGTACAATGAGATGATAATGAGAGGAGGTGATGGCGGTACGATGAGTTTGTTGTGGGTGGAGAGGAGGAGGACGCCAGGGTGATGGAGAAAGTGTCAGGTGCAGCCATGTGAAGTCGTCAACTATTGCCTCCGGGGTTCACGCCTCTCAAAATGAAATGTACATACCGATTATTGGTTTTAATTGGAGCAGTGACTTGCCTTTTAATAATGCTGGGGGTGACCGGGGACGTCACAAGAATACTCCACTTCAGAAGTTCAAACTCTGTGAGAGAAGCTCTTCGGTCAGATGTCAAGACAAGTGAATTTAATGTCAGTATGTTAGTGCCTGTTACTCCTTCTTGCCTAGACTCCTTCAGGAGGCCTGAGGTTTATAGCAACGTTTATAATAGCAAGATAACCTCGATACGCGAAGATAAAAATAAAATAAGAAACATAAAAACTCTTGCACCTGCAACCACGATTCAACATTATAATGTGAAGAAACATTCAGAGTCGTCTAAAAGAAGCAGGACAACCAAGTAAGTTTACAACTCTGGTGTATAAGTGATTAAAACAAGTCATGAATACAGGATACATCATACACAGCGTTTCTGCCCGAAACGCTGCGCGTACTAGTGGCTTTACAAGAATGTAAATACTGTACTATCCAATGTATTCTCACAAACCCAATGTACCTTCTTGTATATATATAAATAAATAAATAAAACACAGGATGGATCACAGTTTTCTGTTTCACAATTTGTTAGTTTCATATATTGAATATTGGTCAGTATTAAAAACCATAATATAACGATTCAAACGGGTAAAATTTTAGTGCATATTTTAAAGCGATTGATTCAATCAAGTGTTGATTTAAATGCACTGTCTATTTACCTGTTTATTTTGAGAATTGTTGTTTTAGTGACCTAATATCCACCAGACAAGGGTTAAGCAAATGCACGTCTCTCATCCACTCATGTATATTCTAAAGTTGTACAAACCCAAGGAGGGTGCGAGAGAGCATCTGATCTCGTGTTTGTCTGCGTGTTGTTCCACTGCTGGTCGGTTGCCTCTCTTCTGCCATTTTCCCTGAACACTGCTGTGCTGTAGGGGGTACTGAAGTCACTGTAGTACTCCCTCCCCCCCCCTCCAAATGATGAGGTACCAGAAAGTCCAGGAATTGGACAGGGTGGTGCATGGTGCATCCCATGCGAGTAGTGACCCTCCATATTGATGTCGCTGTCATTCATGCCATCATCAGGCACTGGAAGGCTCGGATCTGGAGATGGTACCAGTAGATGAAAGAAATCAGTAGGTACATCTTCAGGAAGAGAATTCGCTGATGCTCAGCTGTCAGGGACCTGACAGCTGAGTGGACAGTGCTTCGGATTCTTGGTCCTGAGGTTTCGGGTTTGATCCCTGGTGGAGGCGGAAACAAATGGGCAGATGCAAGCGATGAGTCACAATAACGTGGCTGAAGTATGTTGACCAGACCAAACACTAGAAAGTGAAAGGACGACGACGTTTTGGTCCGTCCTTGACACAATCGACTTGAGAATGGTCCAGGACGGACCGAAACGTTTTCGTCCCTTCACTTTCTAGTGTGTGGTCTGGTCAACAAATGGGCAGAGTTTCTTTCACCCTGTTACCTAGTGGTAAATAGGTACCTGGGAGTTTGACAGCTGCTACCGGCTGCTTCCTAGGGATGTGTAACAAAAAGGAGGCCTGGTCGAGGACCGGGTCGCGGGGATGCTAAGCCCCGAAATCATCTCAAGATAACCTCAAAATAAGATGGTTGGGATTCATTTTATTGGTGTGGGTACCAGATCACCTCCACAGCAGCAGTTGGGGTCGCCATTGCTAGCATGGTGTCGTAATGTGCTGCTTCCACCTGATCGATCGAGACCACCACTTCAGCACTCCGGCAATCGATATTAATGGTTTTCGGAGTTCTCGACAGCAGCCAGAAAGGTCTCTTGTATGACTGCTGTAGCGGCCAACATACTGTATCAACCCTCAGAAACACATGGCTAGCAAAGAGAACATCCTGGGGTATGTAGGTAGGATGTGTAGATGGGTGATGGGGCAGCGTAGGGCAAATCTGCAACATCACCCTCCGAAGCTGCTACATGAAGCCAACATGTCCATCAGCTCAACGTATGGTGTTGGAGTGATCATCCCAGTAAGGCAGAGATCAGAACCATAGACAATGTTAGCCACTGAAAACCCACTGCCCTCTTTAGTTGCCTAATGAGTGCCGAGGAGTACCAAAGGAAAGTTGTCGATATATGAAGTTGGGTCCTTGGAGCCGCCTTTAGTTGGCGGCGAAACCGTTCAAACGTACCATTAGCCTAAGGATGGTAGGCTGTAGTTTGGTTGTTTGGGATACCAAGGAACCGCAAGAGTTCCCGCTATGAGTGTGACTTAAATTGTCGACCCTGGTTAGTGACACTCGTGGTAAGGGCTACAAAGCCAGTCCGGTCTCTGACCAGGCCTCCTTGTTGATGGTCTGGTCAATACAATTAGGGCTTTGTAAAAACTATGTACCCCGTTGTAAACGCAACTCATTCTAAAGCCCACACTCTCAATGCACATAGCATGTGTCACTGTCAGTTTTTGGTAAGCTCGTATAATTCATTGTCGGGGACAGGCAGCCAGTTTATACATACAGTGCATGTTAGGCACTGTAGATCCTCCCCCAGGGTCAAATTACTGATCCTTCCCAGGATGGAACCCCCACAACAAGCTGATGAACTTCTTGGTACCTTTTCACTGTTAGGTAGACAGGGGCATTAGGTGATAGGAAATGAACCCAACCATTTCTGTCCCACCTGGGATTCGAACTCGGAAGTCTCGATTATGAGCCGAGAACGAACCCAACTACTAATGTGACCCTCTTTATATTTATTATATGGCTGCAGTTCATGTAAGTATCTTACATAAATTGTTATATATGTACCTGTATATAACAGTGTTACTGCCTATTGTTATATACACATGTATAAGACAAGGGAAGACGGGACACCACGAGCGTAGCTCTCATCCTGTAACTTCACTTAGGTAATTACACACTCGGGTATCTGTATATAACAATAGGTACTTTCAGAGTACTGTACCTATTTCACCTCTGCTTTTCAACGTGGGAATTCTGCACATGCTGTCATGCCTTCTGGCCTTGTGTGATGTTATTTCTTTGTGCAGATTTGGAACCAGCCCCTCTAATATTTTCCATGTGTAAATTATATATTATGTCTCTCCCGCCTGCACTCTTAAGAGAATGCAGATTAACCATTTTAATTGGTTCCAATAATTATATTTTTTGTTATTTATTTATATACACAAGAGTTCTTGTATTCTTGTAAAATCGTGTAAACACTGTGCATGCACAGTGTTTCGGGCAGGTTCTTAATCCTAATTTTCCCTGGAATACAACCCTCCAAATCTTTGAACAATCAGGTACCCATTCACTGCTGGGTAAACAAAGGGGATTAAATCTGATAAGGCCTCCTGGTTGATAATTTGGTCAGCTTCACTCTTGGTACTTAGTTTGCAATCCACCACACAGCCTGGCTAATCAATGATGATTTGAAGGGGGAGACAGAGTTTTTGAGGGCAATTTGTAGTATTCTGTTGGAAAT